GAAAGGGTAGCCATTGCATATCCCCAAACTTCCCCACATTGTAAAGAGTAGTTCACGGAAACAATACGACCTATATGGATAATTTTCACGTGCGTTTCGGTCGCACTCAAAACGAAATGATAAAGATTCTAGAAGCTGAGTTCACACGAAAGTTAATCACCCCCTAGCAGCTCCAGGATTGCTAATCTGATTGCATACAGTGAGAATCCTAATGGAGTTGGATCAATCTACGTAGAATGATAGTTTCGTTGGGAACGCACCCTTAGATTCCGTTTGTAATTATAATTCTTAAAATCGAAGAACATCTTAAAATGTTTCGGACTATCGAACCTTCGGACTAATGAACCTTCGGACTATCGAACCTTCGGACTAATGAACCTTCGGACCAATGGACCTTTAATTTTCGGACTAATGAACCTTCGGACCAATGAACCTTTTTGTTGAAAATCTGATGAAAAATTTACGAATTTTCGGACCAATGAACCTTCGGACCAATGAACCTTCGGACTATCGAGACGCCCCCTTTAGTTACATCAGTCATCAAAAATTTACTGTACCTGTGTGAGCTGTAATATATCCACCTGGGGCTTAATCGACCTGTTTACATTCGTATATTTTCAGACACATATCATGCAGATGTCAGATGCGTGCGAAAGCACATATTTCCTCACAACTGGGGAATCCCCTTTCAGAAGTTAATACAACATCGATAGTATTTTGCTTCAAATGGACAGAAGTGCGTAGAACTGGCATAAGTGGGTTGAGTGTCGCTTGTGATATCTTTATGTCCACACAGAACACAGGACAGGCACATTTATATATTTTTATTATAACTATGGCAAGCCAAAGGGGAAATAATTGCAGAACATGTTTATCACAGCCCAGAACCAATAAATAGTATTCAGAAATATGATTTCAATGCCAAAAATCATATCTATACACATATCAGGAAGTAAATTTATACTTCAGAAATGATTTCCTCTTCAGAAATATCCTACATCATAGATAAGAAACATTTATCATTCATAAGAACGGAAGTTCATGTTGCAGAAAAAAAAACATAATATCAGAATATTTTATAACATGTTGCAGAAAAAAAATCACATCAGAATTTTGCCAGGAGACCACGTGACCAAGCCGGTAACGTCATTGACATGTTGTAAAGTCCATCTCTTAGAGCTTTACGCGTAAGACTCCCGATTCGGCCGTGCGAATGTTGGGTGCACGGTCTTGAGAAAAGTGAATAATAATAATAAAGAACAAAGAGAAGTTCAGTTTGCTTTCGGTATCTATTCCTCAACAATCATCAATGTTTTAATTACAACTTCGATTACCAGAGAACCCGATAGTGTCCAACTGATCCGAACGAGAAGGTTAGGAAGTCAGCTACGAAGTCTAAGCTTAAAAGAAGTAACATCTAGAAGTCAAGTCAAGAAGTGAAGAAGTAGTAGTGAAGTGCAAGTGGGTCTCGATTCCATGGCCCCGTATCTCGAAATAGAATCTGTTATGGAATCGAGACACTAACGCACGTGCGCAACATAGCGAACCTTTCGAGATACGGAGCCCAGCTTCACCAGCAAACCGAGGTAGCGACATCAGAAAGTCAATTTCATTGTCAGGATAACGTGTTTGTCGCCTGCGAGACATGATATCGCCAAAAAGTTTGTTACCAGAATCAGAAGTTTATTGACAATCGCCCTACATCCAGGAATGATCAAATACAAATACAAATACGTGCCCCTGTCGTGTAGTGTTATACCGCAATTCTGTCAACAGACCGTCGAATTCGTTCGCCATGCTTGGTCACATGTCAATGACGTCACCGCTTGGTCACGTGGCCTCCTGGCATGTTCTTAAAAATTCTGATGTGATTGTTTTTTTCTGCAACATGAACTTCAGTTCTTATGAATGATAAATGTTTCTTATCTATGATGTAGGATATTTCTGAAGAGGAAATAATTTCTGAAGTATAAAAATATTCTGATGTGATTTTTTTTCTGCAACATGTTCTAAAATATTCTGATATTGTTTTTTTTTTCTGCAACATGAACTTCAGTTCTTATGAATGATAAATGTTTCTTATCTATGATGTAGGATATTTCTGAAGAGGAAATCATTTCTGAAGTATAAAAATACTTCCTGATATGTGTATAGATATGATTTTTGGCATTGAAATCATATTTCTGAATACTATTTATTGGTTCTGGGCTGTGATAAACATGTTCTGCAATTATTTCCCCTTTGGCTTGCCATATATAAAAAAGATTATTATAGATTATTATAAGGAGTGTCGTTGAGAGTCCAAGTTCTGCCATTTTTTCTAAAGTATGAATTTTTTTCACTGACAGGTTTGTAGCTACACCCTACCCAACAAAATACTCGAGATAAACCTGAAAAAATATATATATATGTTTTTAGGTCTTCCCTTTTAAAATGGTGGATTCATTCCCATGTCTACAAAAACTATACAAATTGAGAGAAAGCACTTTTATTTAACATCTTTCATACACCATTTAATACCAAACTGAAAAATAAACATAAAATTGTGTATTACTTTTACATACAGTTTCAAAGGAACATAAATTTACATGATGAACAGAAGTTATTACTAAATGTTTAACACTGTACTTATCTTCAAAATCCTTACAGGAAAGGGTCTACATATTTTAAGAGTTTTTTAAAAGTATTGAATTTGATAGGGAGTTAACAGATTTCTAAATGATACACAATATATAACAATTATTATATGGCAGGATTTTTACACCCATATGTTTACAACTAGTTTTATCAACTAGTTTTATCATTTATTCAGGACCACTAATTTCTCCCTATGCTTTTAATGGTATTATGAAAAATCATTATAATTTTTCATTAAGACATATTCTTAAAATAATAAATGAAACCATGGATTCTTACAAGGAACAAAAAGTACAATAACTGCATTTATTTTTGCCTTAAAATCTTCAAATTTACATGATCTCTTATATTTAGACTGTTGTTACACCTTTGAGTAATATCAAAGACAAACCCCCAAACAGTAGATATTAGATGTCATACAACTTACTTCTTATACAGATATAGGTATACATGCACTAACCTTTATTTGGCAGTTTCACACATGCTTTTTTTTTACCACAAATTGCTCAATTTCACCAAATGAAAATTCAACAAAGAAAATGAATCACCTCTAAGATGTTTGATCATTAAAGCTAAGTTTGAAACCTTGTTGTCACAAGTCATAAAAGCTGAATAATAGCTGTTACACCATTTCCATATTTTTGTGGTCTTTTCAATAATATGGTCTTCTTGGGTTATTCTGTAAAGAAATAAAAGAAACTGCTGAATCCACAGAAAAAAACATATTGATTTTTCAATACCTGGTAGACAACTTACAAGCATTGACCAACACCCCTCTCAAACAAGGCTGACGATTGTGAAGACCTCTACCTGCACTGAAACTGTATTGATAACAACCAAAAATGTTTTCAGTAAAAGTTTTTTTTTAGATTACCAGCTTAGGTTTGCTCAAAAAGATGAAAAAAATTGTGAGACCAAAAGGTCAATACTGAAAGAGAGCCTCTGCAGTAAGGCCTAACATATGAAATAACATATGCAAACTTTGATGGAAAATGGGTCTTCATATTATCATGGTCAAAAGTTGCAATACACAATAAAACAGCACCAATTTAAAATGATTGTTTCATCATGCCAGGCTTTCTGAAGCTGTGGACAGACACTGGAGACTGCCGTCTGTTCAGCTGCCTAAGTGTCTGCACATGAAACCTCTTTTACTGGTGTGCTAGTCACTGACACTGTATATACCTACCAGTGGATTTGGTCTAAATCTGTAAGCCAGCATCATACGCTTTCTATATGCTTCAAACTCATCATCATCTTTGGCCAGATTTGCTGGTCTCTCCATACCAAGTCCTCTTCCATCTAGGGAGGTATTGCCCCTGCAAAAGGAAAATTAGACAAAACTATGCAAATTTGATCAAACATACAGAGAAGTTTGTCAAATGTTTGTTGGATCATTTTGTAAAAATATCAAGTCATACCTGTAAAAGCGTACGTCTGAATCAGTTCCAAAAGGGATCATACAACCATTTTATTCACTTTTAATAGAGTGCAGAAATATTCATTATTCCATTTATTAGTGTGCAATTCAAGTGTTACAAACTGAAGCATAACTTATGATAATTATTAAATATCTACAGGCCATCTATCTCCATTTATATTTATGAACACCTCTCACATAATCAATCAACAAGATGTTACATATGATTCATACCCTTTCACTTACTTGTTGACAGGTGCAGTTATTCCCTGAGATTCAGAACCGAGACCTTCCCCTTCTTTCCAACCCATTTTTTGCAGCATTTTAAATCCGACATTTTCACAATTTAGCTTGAAGTCTTTGTAGTCAGACAAATCTGGCTCTCTTCCTTCTTTCAATGCCTATGTTAAATACAATTTAGTGGTTGTATAACATGATACACCCCTTAAAAATAACCCACCATAATAATTTTCACCAAAGCCACTCAGAAAATTCCAAATAAAATAAAGGTATGATTAGGGTGATATATATACAACAGAGTCATAATACAGACTCAGTGATCAAAATGTTTGCAGAATTACACACACATATAGTGTCTATAAACAAAAATATCTCTTAAAGTGAATGAAAGTGAAAAATAATTCCTGTAGTCAGATCATCACCAAAGTAATGCAGTGTGAAGGTGTTTTAGATAACTGTGTATCATTTCATCCAACTTCCAGAAGTTTTTGGGTAATTTTCTATGCTAACAAACACACAGAATGGCACACACACAGTGTTTATTTGTTTACTTTTTGACTAAAGTAAATACATACATTGAAAGTTTCCATGAATTTTTCTAGTTCCTCAGGTGGTAAAAAATCTCCAATATGATGCTTGCCACGACTCATCTCCGTTAACTTCTCAGCCCAGTCTGAAAAAATCAAAATGGATACAACAAAACCATAGCATTATTGAAATTGCAAGCATCTTCCTATTCTTTATAGTTGTTGCAATGTCAAACGGATATGAAATACTCATTATATCACCTTTAGTAGCCTGCATCTCTTGTTTTCTCTTCTTGTGTTCCCATGTCCCCTCCTCGTCCACTTCTTCATCTGAGTCATATTCATATTGCTGCTTGGCTTTAGAGTAATTAGATCCCTGTATGCCAGAAACTGCTGCAGCCTCCATTGCCTTCTGTCTGGCATTGATCATATCATACATCAGTTGCAACTGAAGGATAAAAAACCATTTGATAATGATATTATGCAAATTCATGAAAGCTGTACCCAGAGCTCCTTACTGTGGGTCATCTTCATTAAAAAAAAAATCCTGCACCCCTTATCAGCGGATGTTCTACAGAAGACTGTAAATGGGGGAAAATCCAAGAAGCAATACTGGTTATCAATATAACTAGGTATTGCAGTTGGAAGGTAAGGATTTTTTTCGGCCATTCCCTTTTTGATAAAAAATGCAAAATAACATGAAATGCATTTTATGTAAAACCTGCACTACAAACAATGCTTCAGAAGGCTACCTACCTCTTTTTGTTGCTGAAGTTGTTTAATTTGATCTGCATTCATGTGCTCTCCGCCTGTCATCTGTTTGGCCAGCAAAGCAGGGTTGAATGGAACAGGAGGCCGCAAACAGTGGTGGCTTATAGTGACTGCAATTAGTAGTATTATAAAGATAATGTTTTATTTGATACAGCTTTCTTTCATGATTATCACTAATTGGTCATTCAATTTCTTTTTAACCGAGTAACAAAGTTTTCCCTCTGTATCAGAAAGTAATAACAGCAACAAAAGTTCCTATTAGTTTGATGCCCATGTATGAAAAAAGTGCCTAGAAATGGGTTTATTTAAAGATTTTGAGAAAGTATATCAATGCAATTTTATGTGGAAAGTATTTCTAATATGATGGAATTATCACTAGAAACTATAAATAACTCACATCTAAAAAAACTTTTTAAAATCACTTTAATATTCATATTGGATATGCATATATCTATCCACTTAATAACATTCACTTGCATTTGAAAGAAAAACTCTCTTGTCCACAGACTCATTTTAAAATACTTATGCCAATAATAAGTAGAGTCAAAAGTCATTAGGGGTGGGCAGGGGCAGATCCAGAGTTATTTTCTGACAGTCTTCCAATTTATCTTTGTTGATCCATCCTCCATTTTTGACCGTCTTCCGACAGAAAAAATTAGATACCCGTCAATGTGAACTTGAAAATCTGACTGTCTTCCGGAAGACCCAGAAGACGCCCTAAATCCGCCCCTGGGTGGGTTATTAACAATGTCAAGATAAGATATGTTTAGTTATGGTTTTTAGGTATATTTTTTAGTTTACCAGAGCTATGGCTGGCCTTGATATTTTTAAGGAACTATTATTCTAATCTATGGATCCATAGAATATCTTCTACTATCCTTGAAAGTTAAAATGCCTTGACACCAAAGATTTTGGGCTATCAGACCTTATTTGTTTTTTTGTAAGCCAGTTAAGTTTATAGAAGTAACCTGTTCCTCCAAGACTGAGTGCTGTTGCTACTCCTGGAGCTCCTATATTGCCGCCTGGAAAGGGTGCCGCACCCTGAGGATCTGGTAGAGAGGCCACTCCTGGAGGTGGTATAGAACTCTCCTCTTCCTGAGGTCCCCACCTGCTCTTCCTTTTCTTTTTTCTATCAGGTTCCCCTATTTCATTACCAGAAAACAATTTTGCTGTCAAAGCTCCATCCTACAATTTTCTCAAATTGGTAAAAATTTTCATTTGTCAAATGAAGTTGGAAAAGAAATTAAATGTATTAAAATTTTGAAAATGGAATCATTATAGCAAAGGGAATAAAATGTTCTTGTCAGTGTGTGCCAAGGTTGTTTTATGTTGTAGTTTTATAAACAAAGTTTGAAGGAGGTTCCAAAAGTAATATGCAAATGATTGGAGTACTCAACTAAACTTAGAGTACTCAAATCTCATTTGATGAGTACGAGTTGACTTTCCATTATAGTTTCAATTTTCTGTTTACAAGCAGAATATACAACTTACCATCTCCTACATCTGTACCTTGCACTTTCTTACTGTCTTTGCCAGCCTTCAGTGACTCAACTTTCTGTTTGTAATAAATGTGGGCTGGACTATTTTCTTCATAAAGGAACCTGTAAAATCCAAGAATTCAATGAATTAGTAAGCTATAACTGCTTTAGCCTTGGCCTTACTTAAAGATAGTTTGCTTTGTGCCTCTATTCACTGCACATTTAATAGGCATTTTAATGCATTTAAAAATACTATTTGGAGTTTTAAATTTGGGAAGGGAGGCAACTCACGCAAATGCTGGGTTTTCCCTGTTGTTCTTGAAGGCCACTTCCTCTACTACTGGCCCTCCATCAGCCACATACTTGGCAAAGTTATCAATAAAGTTTCTCAGCTGTGGGTTCTCTGGAGGAGAAACTAGAACCACTTCTATTAATATTCTATCCCTGCTCTCGTGGCTATATCATCTGCAGTAGGTTTATCATTGTGCAATTGTATTTAACAGTTCAGATTCACTTACTTTATAATTTTTTTAAAAAGTATAACAAGCTTAAGCAAAGTTCTTACAATAATCTTTTATGAATAAAAGCAGTTTTACTTAAATACATTTATTAACATATAACACAGCCAGTTTTGTGCACCTACCAGTATCCTTCTGCTTTTCTACTGTTGAGGTCTCAAACACATTGGCTACATTGCTGTTTGGCTTGTTAGTTGTGCTGGCTTTCTTCATTTGGAACAACATGCTGAAAAGCAGTTGTTTAAATTTGACATATACATGTAAACAAGTTCAATTTTTGAAATTTTTAATCCAGTTCAAATGATTATTATATTGGAAACAAAAATCTCAATACAACAAAGCAAATCCTGCCAACTAAACACTATTAATCATTCTTTTTGTGTTAACAGAACTTCTACATCAAATGTTTCCATATGAAGAATCAATTATCAAAAACTGCTATATATGTACAAAATAACCCAAACCTTGAGATGGAAGTGGGAGTGACCTTCTTTCCAATTAAGGGAAGCTTTTTCTGCTGCTTTTCATCAGGGCTGGATTCTGTTCCCTCAGTAGGACTTGTAGGATCATACACCTGCTCTGGTGGTATGTGCTGCTGAGGTTCTTGCATAACTGGCAATTGTGGCTGCCCATATTCACTGGGCATTCCCTGTCCAGTGGGAGGCCCATATTCTCCTGAGTATGCCTGTGAATTGGACAAAGGTTGCCCCAAATTTTTCATCATTCCTCCACCCTGGTTGCTGAAACCCTCACTTGGTAACTGTCCATGGTTGTAATTAAACACATTCTGACTTTCAACTGAGTGGTTTTTCCTCTCATGTCCATATTCAAACACTTCAGTTTTCATGTGGGGTTGCTGTTGTGTTAGTGGATGTTCAGTTTTAGGTGTAAATTGCCATGTGTTTTGACCAGCAATGAGAGGCTGGGGTGCAGCCATGTGTAACGGAGGTGGGCCTGATGTCATAAAACCAGGCGGGGCAGAATTTGTGAAGCCAAGTGGGGCTGATGTTGCCGCACCTGGGGGAAATGAAGTCATCATACCAGGAGCTGAAGTTGAAAAACCTGGAGGAACTGATGTTGCTAAACTAGATGGAATTGATACTTGAGAAAACACACTGGTTGAAGGAGGTGGTGGTGGACCCACAGGTAACCCCAAAACTTGACCACTGGACACAGCCATACCAGGGGGTGGTAATGACCTTGCTGAGACTTCCCCTACATGTGGTGGTGTGGGGACGTGGGGGTTCATTAAACCTGAAGGGGGTGGTAAATGGGGAGCAGGGGGTTGGCCTCCAGGCACAGCAATCCCTCCATGAGAAGGAATGTGAGATGTGGGCACTACAGGTTTAGGCGGAGGCCCTTGATGCTGACCCAGATGAAGTGCAAGAGGAGGTGCGCCCAACCTCGGTTGATTAGGGATCTCCACAGTTTGGGGAGGAGGGTGACCCAAGTCAGGAAAGTTCACATGCCTCTGATTTGCTGTGTGTTCTTGTTGTTGTGGGTAGACAGGTTGTTGGACAGACTGGGATGTTACTGGAGGTGGCACAGGAATGGTACCAACATGTATTGTGGCTGGAGGTGGAGGTGAGGGTAAACCAGGGCCAGCTGGCTGAGGGTCAGCAGCGGGTCCTATCCTACCAATACTTTGTACAGTGATCTGTGGCCTCGGCTGCTGTTGATGGGTTGACATGAGCGGTGATGGTATGTGTGCAGGCATGTTTACAGGCACTGGGCTCTGGACTACAGCTGTCTGTTTCTGGTCATTTTGGGGAGTTTGTTTTTCCTGTTGTTGCTGTTCTTGCTGATAGTGAGTGACAGAAACATCTGATACATTTACATCTTCATCCATTTTCTTCTTTTTAACTGAAAATGACATCTTTCTTTGTTACTTCACACTAGACAACAAAAGCACAATTTAGCAAAACAAAACAATTGAGATTAAGTGCACTGGATGAAGCTAATTACTGCATAAAACTTGCCATTAAGAACGTTATAAAAAATCATCACTACAGAATACAGTCAAAAATATGCAATAATACAATTTAGTACAGGTCAATGTAGATATCAGAAATTGAAAGTGCTGCCAAGGTTGATATTGCCTGTTATTATTTTATTATATGATTTAATATCTAAATATCAATGTCCTCCATAATAACACCAAAAGTTGCAACTTTTGACTTTGTTGACTAAATGATAAAATGTTTACTTTATATAACTGGTCAAAAAATGTTGAAGGCATAATGATAATCACTGGTTAATATAGTGTCTTATAAGGCAACAAATTCATGTATATAAGATCATAATTAATCTATGCACTTAAATGTCTGTTTGCTGCTGAAGGTGCCTGGGAGTAACTCACCTTTCATACCACTTAATTTCTGGAATTGTTCTAAGAAGCTGCCATCATTGGAAAATATGTTAGAATTTGAAGCTTGTTTGGTCTTTTCAGGTTCTTCTTTTCGATCTCGTTTTTGAAAGCCAGGCCTTCTGCCGAACCTTTTTGAGAAATTGACCAGCATCAGCTATTTTCCCCATCTTAAAAAATACATATTTGGTAATCGAAAAACAGACAACATGTTATTTAGCTTGCATCGGACCCTTGCCTAAATGTTCATACTTGAATTCTTTGGACACTGTACTTACCGCAGGTAATAAGGCCTCCTAACACCCCGTGTTACATTACAAAATCAAGGCTCGAGTTTTGAGGCCTTACCTGCCTATCATGTAAAGCTGAAATAAGACACAAATCTGAGCCATATTAATCAATGAACAATGACTGAGAAATCAAATAAACATCTACAAGTAATTACATTTTGCCGAAATGTTTTCCTCTGTTGCCCACGGGATTGGATTCTTCTTTTTTCTGCTTTCCTTGTAGTTTCTTTAGGGCATCTTCCTGCTGTTTTCGTTTATCTTCTAGAGCTTTCTGCTCCAGTTCCTTTTTCTTTTGCTCGATTAGCCTCTCTTGTGCCGACATCTGCTTGAAACGATCCTGAAAGTTGCCCTTGCTGGGACACTGGTTTGGCTGTTGATGTTGTCGGTACGCCATTTTTAGCCTGGGTTGTTTTTATGTACACTCTTGAAGCCGAAAATAACGTCTCTGACTCAGTCTTAAAAGTAGTATTCGGCAGCAAGTGCGTGTCTTTTATGATAAATGACAGTTCTTAACCTAACGTACAGATGGGTAGTCAAATCTTCGAGTTCTCTACTGATGACAACAGGTTTCTGTGCTGTATACAAATTCACAATCCAAACAGTCCACACTCTTTCTAGTTCACAGCTCTTTCATCTTCATTCTCTGTTAGCCTGTAAATACTACGCATTGTCTCTGTTATAATATAGTTGTCCTGAAGCATTGCTGGTAATATCACAAATAAAGTTAATTTCAGCAACAACAGTCATTATAAATTGCCCCTACCTGAACCCCTGTCATCAGTCGACGAGTATCCGCTTTGTAGCCTCGTTGCAAGCGCGATATGCTACTACCTTTGGCTTATGTTGTTTAATCCAAATCGAGTCTGTGAATCGGATAGACGCCATAGTACGCGTGGTTTGTTAAGGACCATTTCTATCTCCCCTCCGCACCGCGTTTTTTTTCATCCTATAATTTTTTGGCCCTTATAACCAAGTGAAATAGAGAGTTAAGGTGCAATACATTTCCGTCTTTTCTTTTTATCACGACATAATGAAATGAAATTTGTGAGAAGGTAGAGGGATTGAGGAGAGACCACTTTGCGCATGTGCAGAAGAAAGATGGGTGGATTGCTTTGGAAATTTTAATAAGTTAAAACTTACATATTTTGAAGATCCAGTATAATTCTATGAGTAATGCTTTTCATACTTTTCAAGTACTGAAGAGCAGACATCGCTATGCAATTTGTCAAAAAATGCCCCCCCTCAAATATAGTTACGTACAGTTGGATATGGTACAGGCATTCATTGACATGGTTTATTACCTCTGCCAAGGAGGTTATATTTTATGGTTCCGTTAGTTTGTCTGTCTATCTGTCTGTGTGTGTGTCTGTTAACAACATTACAGAAAATGTTATGGACCGATTTTGATGAAAATTTCAGGAACTGTCAGAAGTGGGCCAAGGAACACATGATTAGTATTTGGTGGTGATCACGATCAATAATCCATCAATAAAAAAAAAAAAACAACAAGTTATGGACCGATTTTGTTTTCCTCTATTTTTTCTCAAAATAATTCTATAAACTTTTCTTTTTCTTATTGCATAAATGAAGATCAAATTCAATGCCTTTTTACAGTAAAAAAAAATTATATTTTAAAAGAGGAGGAAAACCTGAAATTGATACACGTTTAATATACAAATATATATTACATACAATAAGATATAATTGATAAGAAGTACACTGCAAAGAAACTGGTTGATGAAATCTACATGTACAGAGTAGTTTGTTCACAAATAAGGCCACAAACAACGATTAACTTTACAATAGTATTGTAAATCCTTTTATGTTAACTGAATTGAGTGGATTTCATAAATTGAATATCAAAATAGCAATTAACCTGCACATGCAAGTACAGACAAGGTGGGCAGTCTTGCTTGGATCCTCTGGTAGTAAAGTTTCAGTACCAGTTTGATTTTTAAATGTACAATATATAAAGAGTACTAAAATGATACATCAATCCTGTGAAGGTTCCAAGTTGAGGATGATGAGGTCAGTCCACTTTTGTTTTTCCAATGAGACTGTAATAATGTACAGATGAATATTTGCTCAAAATGTTCTCTTAGTCTAAAGCATCTGGACCTGCCATGTACTATGAATATATTACATTTCACACATTATCAGCAGAAATGAAATAATCTGTAGTAAGATTTATTCCTCATCTCCTTTGGTCCCTTTTCCTGGCGGGGGTGTTAAGGCTCCTCCTCGCTTACTCTCCCTCATCTTAGCTGTGTGCTGGATAAGTGACAGGCACACAAATACCCAGTTATACATGTGCTGAGCAGGTATAGAACTGTGCTTGGACACCATACCATGGGGAATATCTGTTGCAAAATAATTGTAATTTTGTAAGAAATATTTGACATGTTATGTATATGAAAATTAAACACAAATACTATGAAATACAGAAAAATTAACAAAATAACTGTTTTCACTCATATCACTTAATACTGGTATGTCAATAAAAACGTATTTAAAAGAATAATATATAAAATTAAAATAACAATAAACTACCATGTGTAAGGCAAGAAAAAAATGAATTATTTCAAATGTTTGAAAACTTACTTCAACCTATATGTGAAAGGACTTTCCAATAATTAACTTACGTTCAAGATGTTTGGCAATCCTGTCAGGTGGAATGAGAGACTTCGCAGATGTTGGATCGTATTTCCCTATCATGCTGACAAGGTCAGAGTTGAGAAACTGCAATTATAGAAAATTTAAAAAATGTTTTATTGAAAGAGTACAAATCAAGATTTGATGTGAAAAAAAAATAATATGAATTATTACCACCCCCTGATATCAAAATAAATAGCAGCTAACATATTGAAAATTTTCCTTAAAAATGTACACATACCAACTGAACTAAACAAGAAATTGAAAATTAAAAAAAAATAAAAACTAAGCAAACAAAATTATTTACACTATAACTTAACAGAATGGTTTTAAGCCAAGTACCTGTTTAGCTTTGGTCCAATCATCAAACTCCCCATTTTCCACCTCATCTGGGTAGAATATACTCAGTGTTGCCTTCAGTATACTGTGCACTGTTTCTGGGGGTTCCTTGTAGCTACGCAGCTCTGCGTATGCCTGAGCATCCAGCTTAGCAACATTTTTACGTAGGTCCATTAACATCAAGCGATCAAACATAACATCTACTCTGGTTTCTTCATCTTTTTCAGCCTCTATAATCAAAACAATTTGCACAATCAAAAGCCTGGTGCCCAGAGAATTCACAGACCATGACCAAGCTTAAAAATAGCTTGTGTATATATATGATATTTCATATTGACCATTTGGGGAAAAAGGAACATTATTGAATGGAAAATTTTAAATATGCTACTTAAAAGTATAATATTACCATTTAGAGGCATATTTACCTAACACTTGGGTCTTTTCTCCACCAGCAGATTCCTTGCTGACTTCTTTTTGTGCCAACTGCAGCAGTTTAAGCATTCGTTGTACTTCTTTTTCTTCATGCTTGGGCATTTTCTTTACATCTCCTGTATTCAGATCCATAACTGCCACTGCCATGCCTTGGCTGTCACGTAGTGGGAAGGCGAAGTGCCTCTCCCCATAAGCATCAGCTGTCACTGTCTCACTGTTATCAACACACTTGAACAAGTAATCCCTGCAAGGTTCATCCATATTTTTTACACAATTATTTATATGCCCATTTTTGAACAATTTCAGTATTGTGTTATATAGACAAACAAATGATTGCAATTATCATAAAAAGTAATAAATTAATACAGTAATAATTATGCTTGTCTTGATTACAATTTGAATGTGTGTATACAACTTCCATAGATTTCAATGTAACATAATTTCTGTACAGTTCATACCTGAACAAATTGTCTTTTCTTTCCAGTAAAGGTGGGTTAGAGAACATCTTTGCTTCTCCTTTATTGTCTGTCATCATCATCTTACGCAGAACGTAATCAATGTCTTTGCCATCAGGCTCTACCATGTATACTGAGATGTCTCGCACATTAGCACTTCGACGGTGAATCCAGGATATGGCACTCTCTGTTATACGCATGGTTTTACGGCGGTTGTCCACATGATGGTAAGCAATACTAAATGCTTTGCCCACACCCTAATATTTATCAAAAATAAAAATTGTAATGATCACTTTATAAATATATAAAACCTGAAATAATCACTGGTTACATTTCCCTACTGAATGATTCACAGTAATATAACAAAGTTATACATTATATATTATAGAGGGAAAATTATGCCATGCTGGTAACCATAAAAATAAATGATTTCACTTATTTAAAGAAAAAAAAGAATTTTTTTAAACTTTACACATCACCTGTCTTAAAAACCCTTTTTAGATAGCAGTTTGATAATAATATTTACCTGGAAGAATTGTATTTCGTGTGTGATGAAAATAGCCTTTGTATGTGGATCCCTGAGGGTGTCAATGGCAAGCAGTCCAAATACTCTCTTCCTCTGATCCTTAACAGCAACAACAATCAAGGAACCATCACGGTCCTAAAAAATTAATTTAACAAGTATATTAAATTTCTTTGCACCTTAATAATTTGAATATCAGTGTCTGCCATAGAAATACACAAGTTATTTTCATATATAAAAAAGATATTTTTTTGATCTTGTGCCAAGTACTTAATTTTAATTGGTCTCACCTCTGCATCTCTGTCAGTGTTCCAAAAATATATGCTGCCATGATTATTCACCCTGGGTACATGGATAGGCTTCCCAGTCTCTACTGAGGCAAAACTATAATGAAAGAGATAAAAGTTTATGAATATCATTATAAATACTAATGTACCACATCTAATTTTCTAAACAGCCATATTCTTTTAACAACTATAGTGCCAATGAACACCATGATACTAATGCCAATGAACACCATGATACTAATAAAATATTGTTTCACTACTTAGTCTAGATGAGTAATTGGTCAGACAAAACTGATTAAAGTTGGTTATCAAGTGTGACCGCGACCCTAATTTTGAGGTAATTGAATTCTTTTGGCACCTTTTTTTCAGATGGCACTGACCCTGTTTACAGAGTTGTCACTCGGTAATCAACTTATTCAATTTTGTCCTGCTCACGGATAACTTTTGAAGCAGAACTCTAGATCTGTGAAGAAGATGTTGACAGAGCACTGAAAACATCTCCTATATGCATTGTCACATTTAACACTAAATAAAGAAAAACACAAATAAAAAAAAGTAACAGTGTAAATCCTAAAAATAACCATGAAAAAGAAACCTTGCCTGATTGCCTTCATGTCCTTGAATAGACATTTCCCCAAAATATATGGTGCATCCTCAGGTGTAGAGGCCACATAGCGCAGCAACATATCTCCTCTCTTTGGATCAATATCATTGTTCTCAAGAAGGGATATGTTTGCACTGATCCTCTTACCATTACCATGGGTTTCAGAATCCTAAAATGTGAAATATTTTGAAAATATATTCCTTCCTGCATTTCGCATACCACTTGTTATAACTTTTTAACACAATGTTATAGACAGTCAGTGACTGTAACTATAGTGCCAATGAACACCATCTTTTAAAATAAAACTTTATAATTCTAATTTATGGAAGAGGGCGATTAAAAATGTTATGCTAAATATTTTTTTCTCAGCAAAAATGTTAATTCTGATCTTATCTTTTAAAAGATGAATGCAAAAAATGTGAACAATATATAAGGACTTGTTTAACCGTGTCGTTACACCTTATACAGTACCTTATAGAGAGCTTGAAAGACTGCCTTGTACACTGGCTCCATCTGTGCCCCACTGGTCTCCGCTGCCTTTACTATCTGCTGCAGCCATTTCTTCCTGGCTTCACCACGAACCCGGTCTGTGTAGGAGCGCTGTGATACAAAACATTTTGCTGTCAATTACTCACTCAGTTTTGAAAAATCAATTATCTTGGTTTTTAAAAATGCAGGTGCTTCATCTAATGCTTTACTTTCTGTAAATTTCACTTGCTTGCATTACTACTATATAATTTATTAAGGCTGAAACAAAAACCTAACTGAAAATTCACTTCAATTACAAGTGAAATTTTACTCACAAAACATATATTTATTGTCAAAACATACCTCAACACTTGATTCCATAAAGTCAACCATGTAATCAAACTCATCTGAGCCTGGGATTTCATCTGCCACTGCTGTCACAAACTCACGGAACTCTCGTTTACTCAAACGATTGTCAGTTTCATCCTTGCGTAATTTGGATTTCACTATAAGAAAAATCAAACGCACTGCACTACCTAAATATCTTTACTAAAGTATTGCAATTAATTCTAACTAAACCTGTGTGCATATGAGCAGCCCTGTTCTTTAGCTTATGAGTCAAAAGATATTTTTTTCTGGATGTTTATCCTACAAATACTTCAAATGAATTGGTGTTTTGAGCAAACATTTCTGCATGTTGTTTCAAAAATGAACTCTACACTCACCCCTGCGCACCGTTTCCTTCTCCATTCCATCCTTATATTTAGACAATATTGTTTCAATCTCATCCATGTCGAGATATCCTGAACCATCATTGTCCCACTTCTCAAATAATCCATCAACTCTAGTCTTACGCTTAGCAGTAACATGCTCTCTGTGAGCCTACAAAATATGTGAATGAAATATTAACAACATTATCTCAAAACAATAATAGAAAACATCAGAAGAAACAATCTATGCTCAATATTCTATGCAAATGACTCTTGGTAAATGCAAGGCTTTTGTGTTAAAACAACATGCCTACTATTTTATTTTTAGCCAGGGTTTCAAACTACAAAAAATTGCAATTCTTCAACAAAGAATGAAATTCCCACAGATACAAATAGTAAATTAAATACTTTTTAGAATTATCAATAAACTGTTAAAAAGACGAATAAATTAAAAAAAAAAAAAAACAAACAAACATACAAACCTTGAGCAATCTCTCTCTCTTTTCTTCCTCTGTCTCCATGTATCCATCCCTGACATAGCGCACCAGGCTGTTGAAGGCCTCCATGCCCGGCTCATCTCCCAGGAAAGTTTCAATGAGGTTGACAAACTGAGACACATTAAGTGAGGTTTCGTCAAAGGCAGAAGCCTGAGACATGCTCCCAGTGCCTCGAGTCTCCAGAGCTGAAGGAAAGTAAATAAAACATTATGTCTCAGCTGGAAAATTCATCACAGGTACTCTTTTTTACCCTGAAGATAACTATATCAAGAAATTAAATGAACAATATGTTTTCTGTCAAAATCACTTACAATGAAGTAAATACTGGTTTCTATCAAAATTATAAACAATGTAGTAAGAACTATAGAAGGATACCTTTCCTTTCCTCATCAAATCTAGTTCCTTCAGCAAAAGTAACACTCTGCCTGGTTGGTGGGGGTCTGTCAGCTGTAGGGGGTGGTGATGGAAGACGAACATCATCTTCAAAGGCATCTGTAACACAAAATGTTTTAAACTCTAGTAAGACATGGGGAAAATAATAAAGACATGGGGAATTCATTTAAAAGTTGGTGCAGTGAAGTAGTCACAACCAATGCTACAATATTTAAAAATAAAATAAAGGCACAAAAAACAAAATAATATTAAAAGACAAAAGTTCTAACCATTTAACAAAAATGACAATGACAATGAGAAACTAATTAAATGAGGTAATTACATGTTTCAGCTTTTTAAAAACATGTTATCAAAGACGTGAAAACATGGCAATAATCACTGCTTATTTAAGCTGCCTCTTACAATCTACAAAAACACAAAAAGACTGTAAAGCATAGCAAAATTGTCAATGCACTGGCAAATCTATGATGAGATAGAAATAAGCTGAAATATTATAATAATGTTATATGCTGGTGCTTGAAATAATCAACAAAGAGTGAAAGTGCATGGTTAGATGTGCATCTACACTTGGTTGGATGTATGCTGAAAGAAACCTGAAAGAAAAAGTCTAAATCTGTATTAGCAGAAGCTACTGTAGGCACATCATACAGTCTAAGTGTTAGTGTGCTTGCTACTGCCAGTTCACACAGGTCTACCTTGTCCCTCTGTTTCTGCTTCATCTTTCTCTTTTTCTTCGACATTGGCAGAAGATTTTTCCTTGTCAGAGACAACGGCTTGAGGGGGAGAGGTTTCTGGAGCAGAGGTAGGTTCAGGTGCAGAACCAGCAGTAGTTTCAGAAGCTACAGCTGCTGTGTCATCTGTGACAACAGTAGGGATGTCAGAAACTGGTGCAGCTTCACTTTGAGCAGTAACATTTTCTGCTGGTTTCCCAGATTCTTCTGTTTCCTCTTCCTGGGTACTTGCTTGTTCTACAGGCTGTTCAGGTACCTCTTGTGATGCTGGTTTTGCACTTTCTTCTGTCACCTGTTCTTCAGTTTTTGCTTGCTCACTTGGTTGTTCAGTGGCGGGCTCCTTGGGTTGGTCCTGTTCTGAAGGTTTTGCATCCCCTTCTTGTACCTTTTCTTCAGCAGCTGCTTCAGGCTTTGCTTCTGTTACTGGCTGGTCACTAGGAGGCTCTTCAGTGGTTTCAACTGTCCCCTTTTCCTCTGTAACTGCCTCTCCTTCCTTAACATCTGCAGTTTCTTGTACTGTTTCATCCAATTCCTTTTTGTCCTCTTCCTTTTCTGCAGCTGGGTGTTCTTTTGTTTCAGCAGATTCCTCAGCTGTTTCCCCCTTACTGCTTTCTTCAATATTTTGTTCGCCTTCCTTAGTAACAACCTCTTCTCCTTCACCCTTTCCCCCCTCAGCCCCTGTCTCTTCAGAGGACTCATTTTCCTTTTTCTCTGTTTCTGAAAGTTTTGCCACATAATGATTACCTTTTATCTCAGAAATTATTCTTATTCAATTTTGTTGGTGAATTTTAATTTTCTATTGAAAATAAAAAATGAAATATCAAAATGAAAATACAAATACTCCTTTTCAGATTTCTTCTTATTTTAAGTGCTAGTGGAAATTTGTTACCTTCAGTGACCTTAACTTCTGGGTTTTTAACATCTGAAACAAATTAAAACAGGACTTTATTAAAAAATTGCATGAAAATACAAGACTTACTGTGACATATATTTAGAAAATCTCATCAAATTTCAGTTATCAACAAATTGCAATTAATCTACTCATTTCAATTGACAATAAAAAAAAAAAAAAAAAAAAAAACGTCCATCAACACTATTCACTCAAAACAAACCTTCAGTTTTTTTCTCTGTCCCTTCGTCTTGCTTTTCTTCTGGCTTTGGAGACCCCTCCTCATTGACCTCTATGGAGTTGTTAAAGAATTTAGGATCTGCTAAATCTTCATCATCACTGTAAGTGCTCTCTACCTCATCCACCTCAACCACAGGCCCTACAAACAATTGGTTTTAAAGTATAACTTCATATTTGGTAATTTTGTTTACTTAACTACAGACAGGGCATAACATTATTTCAGGAAATAAAACTGACACAAAGTTAACTTTTTCTGCAGTAATAATCTAAATATAAAATAATAGTAGTTTTCCTTGAGTTACTTTAAAAAAGAAGAAAACAAAATGAATGATCAACATTTTAAAACAACAATATTCAAAACTTACATTTCCTTGGATTTCTCAGGTATTTTTTATAGCTCTCTTTGGCCTGGTCAAAATACCTTTCAAACAAGCTAAGGATTCTGTGACGATCAACAACTCCCACCTTCAAAAGAAAAACAATGTAAACAAATGTTCCCGCTAATCACAGTATTGCCAAACAATAAATTATCAAAATAAAAATAATAAATAATCGAAATAAATCCATCAATGAAATCATTAGACAAAAGAGCTCAATGGTACACACTTTTAAGCAAGCACCTACTTGTTTTTATCATGATATATCACATATCAACATACCCCACTTGTATCACATGCAATGAAGAGATGGGTGAGCGCCATTCTTCTCTGCTCTCTCTCAGCAGCCAGGCGATGGGCAGTAGCACAGCGTTGTAAGTGGAGCATAAACTGGTCGAATATTTCACTGGGCATCCCTTCAACATACTTGGAAATGTACTGTAAAAATACAATAACATTAAATGATTTTCTCTTTAAACACAATATTAAATTTGAAATTCAATTGACAAAGTTTAGAGGGTTTTTTTTTTCATGGAGACTTATACAATAAACTTACTGCAGAAAATTCTTTGAGGGACATGGTTTTTCCTGTTTCATCTGTGGGTTCCAGAGGATGGCTAAACTGTCCAGCCTTCTTCAACTCCTCAGGGAGATTATCCACGACCTCCAGGAATGAACGCAAGGCACTCTGGAGCTGTAGGAAAATAGTAGTCTTAAATAACAAGCACCAATAGTTTTTTAAAGATGATAGTGAAAATTGTTGTTTTTATTTCTACCAAACATCTTAATTTCTTAAACATAAGTAAAAAAAAATATTAAGAAACCTTTTCATCATTCTGTATTCTGAAATCTTCATTTCTTAATTTCACCTCAGGTCTCATGTATTATTTTTTGTATATCTTTTAATTCAATTATGAAATTTGGTTAGATGTCAAATTTAATCATTGAATTGAAATTATATCATGGTAATGGTATCTTAAGACAAGTGAAAAACAAAATGTGAAGATCTTACCAATGACAATTCAACTTTGCCATCACTAAGATTCCATTCAGAAAACTGATTCTTAAGAGCATCTTCCCTTCTGGCCTTTTCTTTTTTCTTCTGTTGTTCAGCAAATTCTCTCTCTTCTCTCTTACGCTTTGCTTCAGCTTTAATCTTTGCGAGTCTGCAAATAGGAAATGACAATACTTCCATTATACATCAGCATAAGAAAGATTTATCTTGAGGATTAATCAAGCATAAACCAACAAGCATGTTATCTACTTGGTGGCCTGATAAAAGACAAAACAAAACAAACAAACAAAAAAAATTGAATGATAAAGCTAATCATATGTCAGTATAAATACTCAATTACTGTAGAGTTACCTGTTTTCTTCCAGATCAAATAGTTCTCTTTTCAGTTGATCAGAAACGTCTCTCAAACCTCGAGTATATGGAGAGGCTTCTGAGAAATTACTGTAACGTGGATTGTTTCTCATCAGATACTGTGCCAAATAATTAATAGGGTTAAAATTTGGATCTTGTTCCTCTTTTTCTGCTAGTCCTCTTTTATCCACCTCGAGCAAAAGCTTCTCCATACCCAATATCATAGTGGGTAGCACCTTGTCTACTAAATACACCCTTGTCTCCACTGTAGCTTTGTTGTCACTCAGCCATTCTTTAACAAGAATCTCCACTGGGATTTTTCTTACAAGTTTCTTTGCTTTGTCTTTACTAATGTGTGTCTTTTCCTTCTTCTCTTGGCGAAGCTCGACAAGTTTTTTCATCATCTGCATTTCATGATAGCGTTTCCACTTCCGAACTGCACTATGAACTATTGGGCGTGCATAGTCTGGAGTTAGCTTATTGGGACTTCTTGGAGGAGATACACGGCCCATTTTTGTAGGACTAGGTGTTGTCCTATAGCCAGGTGTTCTTGTCCTAGCTCCAGGAGGGGAACTATGGGCTACATCTGCCATGTCTATTATTGTTGTAACATCCAGCCACTATGCTCTGAAAAAAGAAATTGCATTTTGAACTAACTATCTTAAAACTGAATTTTTTAAAATTATGCTTAATAATAGATAACTAATATTTCACATGTTCTAAAATACAAATACATACACTTTTTAAATTAAAAATTGAATTTCTGATTACCCAGAAGTTTTATATATGGGGCTTTAATATTTCCAACAAACAGAAATAAATCTACATGTACCAGAAAAAATTTCAAAGAAAAAATTTCAACCAGAAGATATACTGATTATAAAGTTAATTGCACAACTGCAGAACAGTTGTTTTGTAACCCATCAACAGGGCACTGAAAAATATAGTCATACATTTTCTCCAGAATATACAGTATAGCCCAGAACTACATGTACAGTAGAAGTGTAGAGTCAGTTCCAGCAACATCAATGGAATTTTTCAAAACACTAAAAGCAGAATGAACTGAGTCTGTGCTCTCTCTCTCTTTTTTTCGTTGCGAATACACCAGTATTGGGAACTATAACTTATAAGGACAGATACAGATGGAGACGAGTGCGGGAATATTGTCTGCAGTCAGTCAGAAAACAAAATTTCAGAACATTTACAAATATAGTCAATACCAAGCCAACAACAGGGTCGTTTCTGAGGGTTTAACATTACATTTGTACATGATTGTGACATTGAATAACTCAATGAATGTTAACTTTGTTAAATAAAATATCAATTATCAGCATATAAGGAATATATACACTTACCCCGTTTAATAAGGTATATGTACTCAAGAGATAAAGCAGCTCTCAGCAGTTGCTATGGGAAGCACTGACCTAGTTTCAATTTCCGCTTTACATTGCGCATGCGTCAAAGCGAATAAACCTCAACATGGTGGATAGGGAAGTTGGGGCTGTTGTTTAATACCAGCATCATTGTTTTATATTTGTGCATCCGATTGGATTTGCGACGCAGCCCACTATACCGTGTGGTTCTAAGGATGGCACTGGTTACAGTACAGCGCTCTCCAAGTCCGAGTAATGTGGCAGAATCGGTAAGTTTTTACTTCTTTACTGCTCAGCCTTTGCACACCCAGTCGACAATGTCATGGACATTGTCACGCTCGGCTGTCACCGAACTTACCTTGATTGGTAAATAAATCTAAAAGCTACGTAAAACGATTTTATAATACTACATTAATCTACCGTAGTAGAGATTACACGATCAAAATCGATATAATATTTTAACAAATTTATTGAAATCTCCTTGTACGCCAAATGCCTATGTGATTTGGTGTTTACCGAAATGTAAAATAATGTAAATGATACACGTTGCTTGCAAAACAATAACTGTGATTACCTGCATTAAAAATTCAAAGAAAACATAAACAGCCCTCAACCCGCATACCATTCCCAAATCCTCCTCTGCTACATTGTCCCATTCTTAAAATCAACATTTGTCTTAACATAAATGACCTATGAATTTAAACACATCACTTGTTGCATAATTGCCATTAAATATTGATCATCATCATCATCCTTCGCCTTGAGCAGAATTGCAGCAGCAAGATGCCTAGACCAGAGTTGCTTCTGTCTCATTATTCCTACTAGTAGCATTTCATTATGTTGCTCACCAGTGTCATTCATGATGGTGTCTGAGTAGGAGTGCATTCAGAACAAGTTGATCTGCAGACTAACAGACCCGCAGNCAGCAAGATGCCTAGACCAGAGTTGCTTCTGTCTCATTATTCCTACTAGTAGCATTTCATTATGTTGCTCACCAGTGTCATTCATGATGGTGTCTGAGTAGGAGTGCATTCAGAACAAGTTGATCTGCAGACTAACAGACCCGCAGACTAAATATGGCCAACCCACTTAAAAGCGATGCTGCTAATCCCCCGATGGTCTTCCCAACCCACATGCACCTTCGCTGCAGGGGCCCAGCAATTAAACCTCAGAGCTGAAATTTAATCCATTTGATGATGTGTGGGGAGATGAGGAAACCATCAGGGAATTAAGCAGCTTGCTGTTAAGTGGGGTTGTCCATATTTAGTCTGCGGATCAGTTAGACTGTGGGTCATCTTTTCTGAGTGCATTCTAGGTTACAGTGGGTCTGCTTTGATGATGGTTGATCTAATGTGTGGGCACAGGGCCCAGCAAATTGTAGTCATCTTTTCCTAATAATGATTGATAAGGTGGTAAATTTTTTTACACATCTGTGTTAAGAATATGGTATTTTCAGCTGATATTCAGTACTATTCTTAATAGTTGTGTGTTACAACCATCTGTGTTGTTTTTCAACTTCGTAGTGATGCTCCAAGTTTCTGGAACACAAGTGATGGTCCAAGTTTCTGGAACACTATAGCAAAATGCTTTCAACAAAAGCTTGAAAGACCTTAATATTTTTATACTTACTAGTAATTTTAGACATAATTTCTGAACTTATTTGAACGCTTCTCACACTTATGATTTTTCTTTTTCTTTGATCTTATGAAATCTTTTGAGGGGTCAGTGATATATTGGAACCAAGATATTTGAATTATTCAATTTGGTAATGTTTTCTAGTTCTATACCTGTTAGTGTCTTGATCTTGGTCTGGTAAAATCTTGATAAGGTAGTGGAAGTCATCTCTCCCATCCCACCAGGGATGGCATCTTAGACAGCAATACAAAAGTAGCACATTGTGCTTAAAGGACTTAAATCTTTAGAGTCAAAGATAACCAGAAAAATATTCACAGATAAAATGTCAGCTTTTATTTATTGCTGCACTGTACACTCTCTTGTCTGCCATTATTTCTGACCCCACTAAATCCCACTTGATTGTCAGGCCATTTATTAACACTACCCATAGGTCTTTTAGCACTAAAACCTATACTAGCCACACTCATGAATGAACCAGCACTACCAACAAGTATGAATGTTAGTGCTAGGTATCGCTTTATTGGTGCAAAATAATTTTAGTAAATGCCTAATCCGTTTATAAGGCCCGATTTTAGCCAAAGTGGCAAAGGGTTTTTGCAGATAATTTTTATTGCTTTCTTAATGTTTTCATGATGGAGGGGAAAAAATGAAAAAGATTGATTCAATATTTATTGAAATGAAGTTTAGCTAAATGATGCCTTATTTGTTAATTTTTACTTATTATTTTTGTTTCAACTTTTATCTAGATATTTTCTCTTTTCTGTGCAGTCCCATGTTTTTTGTTTACAGTGGGATGCTTGATTGACAAAAGTAAAAAATAACATATCTTCTAAGTAGATATCTTCTTGCCCTTCAAAATTAAGTATTCTTCTTTTGTCTGCATGTAAGTCCCAGTAATTTGGTATTATGTATTTCTTTTTACTATTTAACAAATCGTTATCAGTTTTGTTGCTAATGATATAGTTGCATAGATTGATATGAAATTTATTTTTACTCACCATAATACCTCTATCTGGAGTTTAACCAAGTCATTTGTTTGTCAGTCATAGGTCAGGTATTTGATCAACATTGTGGATCATAAATTTCAGTTTATTTTATATGGCATGACAGGACTATGATAATGTCTCCATGCCCACAGTGAGATTTATGTTGCTGTTAATTGGAAAGTGACTGGGACAGCATAATCCAGTGTGAAAAGTTTTAGTCCCTGACCTAAATGCTGATATTGAAAAGTAGGGTGGGAGGTGGTGTTTTGATATTACATCACTAACAACAGTAGCTTATCAGTTGGCACACTTATATAGTGAAAACATGTAAACAGGAGGAAAGAGGGGAAACCGTTTTTCACTGGGTTTTACCATTGGCTACTGTGATAGTTTACAGCTAAGAAAGTTGAGACTTGGCATAATGTTTCATTGGCTATGGTTGGAATTCCATTGTGCTATCCTTTGTTAGACAATACTCACATATCAGCCTCAATGGAACGCTTCATCTGGAGGATCTAATGTTGTCACTGTAACAAGATGGATGGATGTCTGCAACTGAGTCCATGTTAAGTTAAATAATGTTTTTGCTTTATGATTAGCTTGATAAGTTCTTTTTTTTGCAATTAATTTAAATTTAAAGTACACACAGGTATATGTATTGAAAAAAAATTGGAACATTTTTTTTATCTTACAAAAGAAATACCTGAGATATATGGAGAAACATATAAACATTCTTTTGGTACTTGTCACACCTAACCTGGTTAAGGCTTCGACAGGAAGGGGGGGGTGCAGTTAAATTGGGAATGCTGTAAACATCGGGGATTTTTTGCCCTCTATAATATTCATTATATTGTTTACTCTGAAATAATGAATGTAGGTCTTAAGTTGAATAATGACGAAGTTGGTGTTAAGAGTTGATCCATGTATGAAAAATTAAATTTTAAAGTTGTCATCTTTACAAAAAAAGTAATAAACAGGGCCTCAGTTGTGAGAAATGGAAAATAAGAGAGAAGAATGCTTTATTGGAGTAAAATGTCAATACATAGATGTCATACGAGGTGACAACGACTACACTGTATGCACGTAAGGTGATGGCAACCTTGCCTTCCTGGCCCTGTCTGGTAGTCACCTGTTGTATGTGGTATAGAAGAGAATCTGGACTGTTATTTTTTGTTTGATGAACTTTTAGAAGAACACCAAGTAAAATATAGGCAGAAAGTGTATTTAATAAGAAAAAAAAATCAAACTTTTGTCAGGCAAGTGATCCTCTAGCTAGTCACTTTTGTTTGTGGGCAAGTATGAATTAGTGGCCCAACCTCAGAGAGTACTTGTGCAGGGTAAGTAACACAAATAGGTATGTCAAGCTCGCAAGGATTGGTGGTATGGATATAATTAACACTTCCTCATTTTATCCTGTTTTATATTGACAAATATTTTGATTTCAACTCCATTTGACTTAGACTTGTGATCATCTACCCTATTATATAAATAAAACCAATGATTTTGCTGTTTTATTCTTAAATTTTATCAGTTTTTGACATGCATGTTGACTGTCGTTATCTTTATTGCCACACATGTGATATGATGGTCCCTGGATCATATGAAATGGTCACATGTTGGCATATATTGGCAGCTGGGAATCAGATTGAGTCTATGGCCACATTCAGAACAGTTTGATCATTGGATTAACTGATCAGTGGATGAAATTTGGCAGACCCATTTGAAAGCAAAGCCACATAATCCCTTATTGGTCTCTTCGCCTGCCACACCACCATCCCTTCAAGGGCCTAGGAATTAAATCTCAGAGCTGTTTTAATTTAGCTTTAATTGATAGGCCCCTGCTGGGCTGGTGAGTGTGATGGGGAGGGGGGAGAAGAGACAATAAAGGGATTGTGCGACCTACCTTTCAAGTGGGTCTGCCATATTTGAACTGCAAGTCAGTGAGTCCGAGGATCAAACTGACCTTAATGCAGCCTATGTAGGAACAGGTATAACCTTCACTTCTATTCAGACATGCAAGATGCTTGACCCGATTCATTTATTGTCAAATGAAAAAAAAATTAAAACAAAAAAAAAACAGCTTAATGTTTATTATTACAATGTAATTAATACTCTCTTAAAGGTTTATAAAACTTTTATTCAGTAACCATTTACACTTTTGTAAAAAGATTTTTTTTTAATTAATGGTTAATAACTTTTTGTCCTGAATTTTGCTAACTTTTCTTTTAATCAATGATATCCCAGGAGAAAACCTAAAGAAAATGTTGTTTATAATGAAAAGTTATCTCAGAAAACATTTATACCAATCTTTTTAACAAATGGTTTATACAAAATACACAAACTTCAGTAGTTCAACTTTTTAATTTTTATGGACAGGTGCATTTGTCTGGACATCCAGCCATCACCTGGGTCTGTCACCATTACTGTTGTAGTTGTCATAAATAATAAATATTGGCAAGTGTTTTTCTAGGCTTTTTGTTTAAAAACAGTTAAGAAAAACAGTGCTACTTATTTTTTCTTAAATTTACAGGAATGATTCACCAGACTAAAATAGAGTTCAAAAACCAGCCTTTTTAAATTATTTTTTCCTGAAGTTATTTTATGGGTTTTTCTGAAATCACCATTCTCCAGGTGTGTACTAGTTGCATTTTATGAATGTTGGCAGTGAGAGTGATGACATTATTTAACACCCCATTTCCATAGATTTTTAGATCGATCTATCCCTGTGGGGAGTCTCACTAGATTACTATCAGCTTGGCTGGCTTAAGCGTCTGTCCCGCCTACTAAAAGCTGTAAAGAGGTAATTAACTATGGTGTCCGCTCGACTGACTGCAATTTAGCCTGAACCCTCAGGGAGTTAGGTCGATCTAAAACTTAATCTTTAGATCGATCTAAACCTCTGGGAAAGCACCCTAAAATTGGTGGTGATTATGCTGTTAATCATTTTGTAGTATTAAAATCAAAATTGACAAATACATATTGTGTGCACTTCATTGTGAAATTGGTTCATTTTTTCCACTGTTCAAATGCCACTGCTTCTATCAGTTTTGTCATCTATATGTCTGTCCATTTGATATCTTTGCTGTTTTACTTTGGAAGTGTTTCAGCACAGAGGAGACCAAATTCTATAGACTTAAAACTGGTTGCACATTATAATGCCACTGAAGCCATTTCTAAATATACATTATCACTAACCAGCCAAAAACATAAATAGTTTTACTGTTGGTTTGAGTTGTAGGTATTTCTGAGGCTTGGGTGTCCACAAATGGGCTGTCAAGACTCATCAGGTTACTGTACTGCCACTTGCCTGCAGTAGTCTACAATTGTGTAACTACCACATGCCACTCTCTTCCATTGAAACCAGGTCTCTACTTTCCTGGGGCGGCATATTTGCTGCATAAGATATAATACACCACAGGGCTAACTTTTTCATTATTTTTTTCTTATGCAGAGAAATAGCAAGGCAGGTTGGAGGTTTTTATTTAACTTAAAGTTTTATAATATATACAGGGAAGCTTTGCTAGCATTCATTTGAATTGGCACCTTAACGGTGTTAATGAATTTGAAGTCAAGTAATAGATTTAAAAAGTTATTCATGAAAAAATTAGAAAACATGATTAATTTCTAGAAAGTATTTGTTAAAACGAAGTATTGAGAGAGTGAGAATCTAAGGCTTCGTTCACATGCNACGAATAAGTTTGCGTACAAAAGTAAGATTTTCTGGCATCTAGATAGAAACAAACAACCCAATTTTAACACGTAATGGTGTATAGACCTTCCCGATCAACAAGATGATAACAGGTAAGGTGGAGGTGCAATTATTTTGCTTAAATAGCCCAATTACCTGAGCAAAATGGTTTAGGAGCGATTTCTCAGCTTTGAAGATTGATAACATAGTCTAAACTTCAATCCCCATATCTCATTCTGTAACTGTCAGATTGACATGAAATTTGATGTGTCTCTGTTTCAGTATAATATCTAGTCGTCTGAGTCTTGGTTTTTGGATTGACCTTTTATTTTTGAAGTTATTAATACTGAAATTGGAAGGTCCATATATATTTCGTAAAATTCACGTTTTATCAAAATAAAATCAAAAGTAAAAATAAAAAGAGAAAATCCTGACAGAGTTTAATGGAGTTTGTGCTAACCTTTAGATAGCTATTTCAATCGTATTAATAGGGCTTTTTGTTTAAGAGAAATTCTTGATTAAAAAAAAGACAATTTTAGCCTCAAAACGCTGATATTACGTCACTCGTGTTACACTGTGACTACAAACTTTGAAAAATTGTTTGGCTTGCTAGACCTTTTCTTTAAGTTAATAGGAAATTTCATTAGCTGCATTAGTTTTGGACTTTTTCGTTAATATCCAAGATCCCTTAACTTAAAGATCAGATTTAATTGGCATCATTTTTGTTAAAGCTTCAGTATCCTGTCTTGATATATAAATGATATTGCACACATGCCACGTAGAAAATGATGGCAATTCAGTATACCGTTTTAATCAGGACATTACATTGTTGTAAACCTAAATCAGAAAGCGAAAGAAAGGAAATAATTAAGATAGCACATTCAAAAGATATATTCTGAAATGTTGGTGTGACATGACACACTCTTTACCAATGGTAAATCACAGGATTTAGTTTATCTGCAAATAGAGAGTCAAAGTATTTTCACTGATTTGTGCCACTGTGCCCTTTGTAGAAGTCTGTTTTGTCAAATTATGATGATATAATCTTGTCGTATTTTTTCCACAATTAAACCTATTTCTCTTCATATTTTAGGAGCCTAGTGATGAGGTGGACCCTGCCAAGTCGCCTACAAGGCAGAGAAGGTAGGTGTGAGATTTTTGTCCATGTGGCAGAAAAAGCTTACTTAAAGTCATTTTATAAAATTGTCAATTTGCAAGGTGTTAGAAATGTACTAAATGCTCATAATATGTGTTTAACAAGGTGCTAAATATTTCAGTAATATATTTTACATGGTCTTTGAGATTAATGTCGTTATGCTTATCCAGATGTAACTTCATGGATTTTAGTGGTGACCAGAATTACCATGAGCATTTAACAAGTTGGTTAATGTAGTTTTATGCAGTATGAATTTTTATTTAAAGGCAAAGGGGCAGAGATTTTGTAAATAATACAGTTCTGTGATTGTTTACCAATATACCATGTTCACATTATTTAGACTACTTTAGTTGGTTTAAAACATTAAAATTGGAAATAGTGGACAAAAAGTTGGAGGATGGCAAACATTTCATTGATATAGAAAAAAAATAAAAATAATAATAGCATTCATCCAAGATTTGGATTTGAAAGTTTTTTGAGTGCATTGAAAAAGTGAAAGCAAAAAGCATGAAACTCTGTGCTCCAAGAATGTCATCAGAGAAAGCAATACAACAGTGACATACAAAATACATTGTCCAGTGAACTATAGAGCTTTAAAAAAAAGAAATTAAGTATATCCATGGATAGTTTTTATTTGTTGCCACAGGTATGGACCCTGGGTGGCATCATCTGGTTCAGGAACCGTCAGTGTTAAATCTGTTATACTTGGGGCTTGTATGTCTTGGACAGCTTTTACAACAGTGGACTAACTAAAAAGCTTGATGTCTAATCTGCACTGTATATATTCCCCATTGGGAAATATTCAAGTGGGTCGGCCATATTTGACCCACGGACTAGTTAGTCCACTGTTCTGAATGCGGCCTTGGAAATGGTGTAGTAATACTTGGGCAGGACTTTCCTTTGGATGGTGGTATCAGGGAGTACAAATAGACAAGATTGGATGATTGCACAATTTCAAAGGCAGTCCCACCACATCAGATATGTTATGTGTTTGTTTTGCATATTTCTTTTCAACTTTCTTTTAATACAGGATGATAATATGGCTCTATAAATATCACTATTTTCATTTTGTTAATAAGTTTTCCATTATTATTTAACAAATTTTGATCATTTCATACTATTGTTTTCCAACATACCATCATTAAGAAATTCTTATCACATTTGCCATAATCTGCCAATCAGAAACAACAATTACACAAAGTTAAGTCCAACTTGAATATCAGGTTCATAATATTTATCCACCCACATTCAAGGTTTTTTTTAACCTGTCATCTACACTTTAATATGACAACAAAGTAGTCTGCTTTCCAGTGCAGTTTTGTTTCTCAAATGAAACTACACTTTGGAATGAAACAAACTATGATGTAAATAAACAACATGACCAAATAAAGACAAAAGCTTGATGTACCCTTGACTTGTATCAGGAGAGACCAAAACAGTAATTACCACCTTTTCTGAAATGCAAAAAGATTAGGTCAACATTGTTAGCAGCACCCTGCTTCAGTTAAAGAGGTAGCTAAAATTGTGGTGGTTTTGGTAAAAAAATGCATTCAGTTGATTCAGAATGGTTTAGATATGGATTTCATTGTACCCTACTATGCACAATCCTTTATAAAGCAAAGTTTATACCACAATCCATAAAACCCTCATTTCTCCTTATCTAGTCTTGTGATATCTCTTTTTCTTTTGGTTTCTGCCCAGATTTGAGTTACCTGACGGGGATATTGCAGTAGGACGTTTTTACTGGTGCTTTGACAAATTTTGTCTGTAGTCAGTATGAACAGTTTGGTTTTCATGTGGTTTTGGTGGTAAAGGTGTTGGTTCCTGTTTCCTCCAAGATATTGCTGTGGCATTGGTTTATGTATATAAACTTACCACTGGAGTGATTAAGTATCATCATTAGCCCAGCTAGTATGCTGCCCCAACTGATCATTTTGTTTACTTGCAGGTCCCGAGGTGCCTTGAAAAAACTGCGTAAACTCTTTCACACCCTGCGTTTTGTTAATAAATTACGGTGAGAGTAGAGGCAGTTAGCAGGCTAGCAAGCCATATTTTTGCTTAAACTTATTTTATAGAACTTCTGTTTTTACTAACCTATTTCTGCTAATTATAATTTGCCAGAGCTCATTATTAACATTTTCCCCAATGCTTTTATTTGCAGAGGACCAAGTCACAGATATACCCACTTTATTTCTATGAAATATCTTGATGCAGTCATGGTGAAAACTCTGAATGTATTACTGGTCATTTAGACAACCTAAAATCCCTATCTTGCTTGTCCTGCCAAGATTTTGCCATCTAAATAGTTCTTTAATTATTTCATATAATAAAGTAATTCAATGGTATTGGAGTGCATTACAGGTATTAAAATGGTCCCTTCACAAAAATATAATCAGGACTTAATAAAAAAAATTGGTGTTCATAAAAAATCAAATGTCCTTTAAAGTGATAAATATACGGACATGCGAAGTTGAGAAATGGAAAATATTCCTGGTTTTTATTGCTGGTTCGATTAAAACATGATTTTCTTCAAAATTGCCATCCAAACCTCAAAGTATTTGTAAGCATGTACCTGGTGACTGGCAAGTTTAACCATGACTGCTGATGTCTTCCATTTTTTTAGCTGAATATTCTGAGGCCCTTCATCTTGACTGAATATTTGACCATTTTTTTCCTCTGAAATTAATTAGATTGAAATATTATATTATATATTATTTATGCCAGCCTTTCAGTTTTTGCTTTTAAATTTCCAAAATTTGTTTGAACAATTTCTCTTAAAAAAATTATCATACTATACTCAACTGTGAAAAGGTCCAAAAGAGCCAGCCCCTGCATGAACTAGTTTTCTCCGTGTCTTAACATTTATAGCATGAGTATGAATGATAGGGCATGAACTAAGCTGTGAAATTAAAGACAAACAAGAGAAACAAAATAATTATAAAAATATTATGTTTTAACATGTTTTTAGCATTAAAAGGGCACTGTAGATACGAGTGGTAACCATGTTGCATCGTATGGGAATATCACTGTTGACATGTTGAACAGACTACAAACCTATCTGAAATGTGTTAGAAGCTAGGTATCTTGGTTTTAGGCTAACTGTGGTTTCTAAGTGGTATATTAATTCATAAAAATTAGAGAAAGGCAAAGTGTATGGCAAGGCTGGTTTGACTGCTTGCATTAACCTCACTGAGTGATTGTTCTTAGTACTATCCATGTTTTTCTATAAAAAGGGCCATAGTGGTTTGGCGTAATTTCAGGAGCATTGATGAATTATTATGTATAGTATATACCTGTATGTGAGCAAGAAATAGATTGGAATGACAATTAACATGCTTCCTGGTAATATTGCACTGCTAGGAATTATGAAACTAATGGTATTTGTTCAACAGTAAATGAAAGGCATATGTTGTGTGTAGAATTAGCTGGTCAAATGACTTAGCCATGACATAGCCATAGTTGCTTATTGTTCTGCTTTAAATCTTAATCTTTCTGTATCGCTAAAATGATTTGATTAGTTGGTACCAGAACACATCAGAATGGTTTAGTTGTGACTTTGTTCTGCTGTTGAAGAAGAAAGAATGCTCTTCATCATCCTAAAGGATGTGTCAGTAAAGAGTAAATATAGTTCACAATTTATTTGAAAATGACTGAACACTTTATACCATGAATAATTCAAAGATGCTCCACGAGTGTAATATGTTATACAATTGTGACATTAATGGGCATACATATCAATATTTCAGCTTCAGTGAAAGTTACTTTGCTGTCAAAGGTGCTGCTATGATACTACCCCAACTAGAAGGCAGGCGCAGTATAGCCAAAGGATCACATGGAGGTGAGGAACTAGCTTTGTTGAGAAAATATTAGGCCATTTCCTACTTATATGCATATGAAATGTCTCCTTAATATTGGAGTTTTCTATTTCATAATTGATTTAAGATGACATGTGTTTTTTTCTAGGAGATATCCAGAACCATCTCCAGGCCATGTTTTATCTTCTTAGACCACAGGACACAATCAAAGTAGTGAGTAAAATGGTTCAAACATTTTACCTTTCTCAGTTTTTGGTCTTTGTTTCTAGATAAAAACAATACAGTCCCAAGTATTATTTGAAATTAATAGCTTATCAAACTTTCGTAAGTCTGTCAGAAATAGCATGTTTTTGTCAACTTTTCTTTACAGGCTGTGAAGTTAGAAAGTTTATTCCCTGACAGAAATCGCTACCTTGTAATAGTTTCCACCAATGGCCGCCAAGACACGGAGGAGAGCCTCATCCTGGGTATTGACTGTAATGACAAAGCCACTGTGGGTTTGGTGCTGCCCGTATGGGCCGATACCAAGGTCAGCCTGGATGGAGATGGGTGAGTGAATGATGTCACTACTACATAACTGTAGCCTTTTAGAACTGAGTCATCTTTTAGGACATTTTAATACTGGATTCATAAAACATACTGCATTAAAGGAGAAAAGGAAATGCTATTGCCAAAAGAAACAATGAATTCAAGAATTAACTGCTTTGTTATCTCATAAACAATCTTCATGCATTTGTGTTTACTTCCATATTAGGCACCCATTCTAAATGCAAAAATATATGCTTATTCAGAGAATTGGATGCTAATTCGTTTTATATTCTTCAGGGGGTTTAGTGTTACATCCAATGACAGACACCACATATTCAAACCAGTCTCAGTGCAAGCTTTGTGGTAAGTGCAATGTGCACTGTTTATGTGAGTACATATTTTATGGAATTTCAGATTTAAGCTGGTCTCCTATACTTTCTGTTGATCTTTGATGTAGACGTTTTATATGTGGCTCAGCTGATGCAATTTGCCATATACACTGTAGGCATTGCCTGAGATGGATTATCATGTCATTTGGTTTTATCAGTAGGGAGAGTACAATTTGGTTAAATTTCAGTTGTTGCTTCACTTCTTCAAATATGACATAGATAATATAGATAATATCATATGCACATAGTAGTAGAGCACTGATTAATCCTACTTACTGCCTTATATACTTAAAATATGTGTTTGTTGTGGAAAAAACTGGTGAATATTTTGTAGTAAAATTTATCCACTTGGGATGATGTAAATTTGAGCTGATGTGGTCAGTTGGTCACATGTCAAGCTTGCAACACATTGGTTGGTCAAAAGAGTTGGTAGCAGGGTAAAATTGCAACTTTTTCATGACTAAACACTATTTAACATAAAATTTTGTACTATTCCAACCGTTTGATCAATTTGAATCTCTGTGCGCTTTTTTCCCCTTAGCAGCAGCCTAATAAGGTTGAAAGGTTTTTACTTTAAGTTTGAATTTCAATTGATGCATTAGATTGTATTAATCCTATGAGCTAGGTAATTTTAGTGGAAAAAGTGGACCAGATATGCGATATTACCATTTATTTCTTCATGTATTATTTTCAGGTCTGCTTTGCAGTGTCTCCACAAGGCCAGTGAGGTGGCCCAGCAGCACACTTACTACCCTCATGGTCTAACCCACACCTGGGTGGGCTTCTATGATTCCATCATACAGTCTGACAGGTCATGCCTCAGTGAATGGTAAGTGCAGGCTCCTCGTATGTCTAAATACAAATGACTAATTTAAAGTATGATTTTACATGACTTATAATTCATATACAGTGCTATTGAATTTGACTTTACACTTTGAGTGAAAATATCTTTCAGTAAAATATTCTGGAAATAAGGTGTTGGACAGTTAGTTTTTTTTTTTTTTTTTGTAATGCATTAAAATTGCTTGGTAAAAATGTATGGATTCTAGAGTCTAAGATTTTTTGTAATGCATTAAAATTGCTTGGTAAAAATTTATGGATTCTGATGTCTAAAATGTCAGTAGTAGACTGATCATCTGAGTTTGACATGGACTAAGATTAGATAAAATTTACTACCCTGAAAAACTAAAGTCTTGTTTATTGGAAATAATCTAAAAAGGTTATGAGCTGGATATGAGCTGATGCCTATAAATGTTTTTGGAAGGGGGAAATATATATGGGACCTCTAAATGTCACCTGTATTGCTTTGTCAGTTTTATGTTTATTCTGATATATGTTTTCTGTATCTATGTCAACTTTAATATTTACTTTATGACTTAAATACTTCAATTTTTAAGGCATGCAATGGAAGACATTGACTTTACCCGTCCAAATTCTCCACTGTTGACACTAGGAGAGGAACGAAATGATACAGAGAGACAGATTAAAGTGAAACTAAAGGAGATCATGTTAACAGTGGACCTGGAAGAAGTAACTAGTAGATATGTGAGTATTATAGAAGTAGTTGTCACTCGCATACATGAGCAAATACCTACACAAACATGCACACACAGTAACTTACACACATTGCTCTACACACATTCTTTCATGTGGGTTTTACATTTCTACAAGCTGTTTAATTAAATATTATGAAGTATTGATGGCTTTTTTGAGTGTGGTATTGTTGGTAACAAAAAATGGTTGTGCTAAACAGAGGGAATATTTGCTTTTTTTGAATATTTCCAGCTGCGGTTGCAATTGGAAGAAAAGCTGAAACAGAATTTGAAAGATTACCGTGGCTATATTGATGAGCAGTGCCTTATAATCATGGGACAGCTGGATGCTCCATCAAAGATTTTTGACTACCTTTACCTGGGCTCAGAATGGAATGCTTCCAATTTAGAGGAATTGAAGAAAAATGGGTGTGTGATCTCTCTCTCTCTCTCTCTCTCACACACACACACACACACACACACACACACAC